TGAAATTGCAGCAATTAAGGGCACGAATATCGGCCATCAAGCAGTCAGCACACACAGTGCAACGATGCCTGATGAAGGTGGGAGCCTTAAATATTCGTAGGTATGCGGTGGCATGGCGACTACATCCTATAAATACTACGGCTCCTTGTGCATGAACCACCCGTATCTGCTTTTGTCTCCGATGTCGGGTTCGAGCAGGAATCTGAAACGCCAGGCGAATGAAGCTCTTGACCCACCGATCGTTTCTCCTTCTTCACGGCCTTGTACATCTTCAGTTTGATGCTCAGTTGAAGACCATGGCGATCCTACACGGAGTTCTTTAGACGGCCGATGGCTTGTCTGGCTTCGGAGATCCAGTGGGCCACTTGATCGTTGATTCTGATGCAGCGTGGCATTGTACTGCCAAAGTAGTTGAAGCTAACCACGGTCTTCAGTTCGGTGCCATTGACGTGGTTGCAAGGGATACTGTATTCAGTATTCGGTTACGGTTGGTGCATGACCGCTGTTTTGTTTGCGTTGATTGTCAGACCAAAGTTGGCACATCTGGTGGCGAAGAGTCCTATGCTCTGCCACACATCTGCTTCGGTTGTGGTGTTGAGTCCGCAATCGTCGGCGAAGAGACGCGCGGGGGCCTGCATTCGCCGGCTGTTGAGGTGTCCGTCAGTTCTGTAGGGAATGCGCCTTTCCGGGCGCTCATCACGGTAGGCGTCAAGTGGCTTGGCTGAAAACATGAGGCTGATGAGGGTGGGCGCGAGTACGCGTCCCGGTTTCACTCCGTTGGTCTTCGCGAATGCTTCACAGACTTCCCTGTTGTCAGCGACGCACGCCATTATCTCGTAGCGGAGCTTACGTACCATGTGCGTGAATTGCTCGGGAAAGTTGAACTTCTACATGAGTTGACGCAGTCCTTTGTGATTCACCGTTTCGAAGGCTTGTGTCGAGTCCACGAGTGTGGTATGGAGGTGAGTCCGCGTCGTCTGGCAATTTCTTGCATCGCCCGCATTCACAGGTGATGGGGACCATTGTCGTTGCCGCCGCTGATGACGTGAGGACTCAGCACTCCCCGCCAGGCAGCGCAGTCTGTCCCGACGCGGGCATGTAAGCCAGCTTGCCCACCTTCGGTACAGACGCCAAGAGTGCGTGCAGGTCTTCGCCTCAGTGGGCGCAGGCTCATCAGTCGGCCGTCGATGCCCTGCGGCAGACAGGATAGTCCTCCCGCGATTGCGATGGGAAAGGTGATACCCGCGTCTCTTCGCCCCGCATTTGGCCGGCCGCTCCAGAAGAAGATATAGCCGATACCCACCTCCTCCAGTTGGCCTTGTTCGGACGGGCGGGTCACGCTGAGTGTAGCAATGTTCACCTTGTGTCATGCCAGTTCTCGAGCTGCTAGCGTTGCCCTCCGTTCTGGTCGGTTACTCCGCAAGTTGTCCAGAAGGGAACGAACATTGCAGGCAGCCAGACTGAGCGGACTCGCCCTTCTGTTGTTATTTCGACCGCGTGTTTTACAGTCTGCGATCCACGGTCTGATTGCAGATGTCATGAACCTAGCATTTATTTAGGGCACCTTGCATAGTCCCCTCCCCCGCGAGGGTGTAAACAATGATGTCCCTAAACAGGTCTGCTAAGTTGTCCCCGACGGCTGTCGCACTCCGCTTTTGCCCCGATTGGCCTCAGACGCCTACGTGATTACATGTCACCCCCACCGTAGGACTTTTCGGCCGTGAGGGGACAGACTAGCGTAAGGAGCACATTGGGTGAAGGGCAAGAGAAAGGTGGAGAGGGGAAGGGGAGGGGATATGGGGGAGGGCGGGGGTAGAAAGCAGCGGTATCAGGTGCGGAGGGAGGTGAGGATGGGGTAAGGGGGATGGTGGAGGGAGTAGTGATGGATGCGTGGGCGTAGGGACACCCACAACACCAGACACCCTCAACGCAGTTTAGCCCGCCGATCAAGGCGGTTACCTGGGCGTGGCTGCTAGGCAGAACTTACCTCCGAGGAGCCACATGTGGTAGTTGGGTGCCAGTTTGTGGACGCCAGCCGTAGTCAACGCCTACAAGTAAGTGGGCAACACGCTAAGACCATCACGTGTACCCATAACTGGACACACCTACACCCCAAAATGTAATGCACATACGGACACACCCACGTTTTAATTTAAAGGCATCCGGCACTCCTATCCGTTCATTTCCACGGGGGAGAGGGCGACATCAGAAAAAAAGGTACACTGGGAACTGCGAAAGTGCAATTTCCAGGTATCGTTTCCAGAGAAAAGCCCTTTGCTAAGTCATACCTTTCGAATCCCCGAGGTTTCGCGCAGCACAGCCGAAAGCGCCAAAAATGAGGTCAGCCCTACAGAGACGGAAAGGAGACGACCAGTCCCGCAATCAATGATCGATCGGTAATCGAAACTAGCACAAACGATGAACGCACTAGTTACGATGCCGAGCACACCTAGCGGATTTTCAACGCGGTTTCTGAGCTGGACCAGCCAGCCTCTGATGCTCAGCAGCTGGGGTTGCTGTTTTACGTGTCGGATGTTTATTTAGCACAGATCGATGAACGCTTACTCTCCCCCCCCATCACCACCACCCCCGCCTTCTTCTCTTCCTCCTCAGTAAGGCTAGTTATAAATAATTTTGGTAACCCAGATTTTTTACGAAACTTCAAATGAGAACACCAATTACGCACACACCTTGCTGGATGTGACATGGTCAATATATTTGTTTGTTAGCCACATTAGTCAATCATACGTCCGCTGTATAGGAAATTCGCATTGGCATTTCTTATATGGGCAATTACGAAGAGCAGGATTCACTGAACTGCTTGATATGTGCCGTCGGTTGACTAGCATTTACTGTCGACAAGAGTTATAACTGTTGATCACATAGTATGAATATTTTACTTTAAATATCTAATGGCGAATTTTACGTGCAAGGTTTGACTGCAGTGGTCTACCTGGATAAGTGTGATTTTTCCATCGATTAGTTTGGGTAACAGAGCTATCCGACATTGTATCACGGTGGGCTCCGGGTCAACCTATTTCTGTCTTTAATGTCGTCTCCGTAAAATGGTCTTCATGATGGCCCTTTTGCTGCGCTTAATGACGTCGCAGAGTCCAGAATGTTCATTACTTTCTGGAATTTATGGGGCCACAACGCTATTAATTGGCAGGTTCTCGAGACTGGGAGTTAGGTAGGACAACGTGCGCAAGACGTTAGGGGCGGAAGTATAAGTGATCTACTGTTGTGTGCGCTTTGTAGTAGACAAGTCCCAGTCTGACCACTAACCCCCGAGCCTAATGCCCTAACCCCCAACGCCTAACATTAACCCCTAACCCCATCCCCTAACCCCTAACGCTAATCCCGACCCCTAACCTTAACCCCTAACCCCTAATCCTTAACCCCTAACAAGTACGATTACGAAGTAAGATCCTGCCAATTTTTTACAATTGCGAACTTTCAGCATTTCTTTCTGACCACTGTTAACGTCCCCATCCGAACAACCTGGGCCTGCACAGACTCCGTATTATCGGTGATTTTATTGTTAATTTAAAGCATGGATGCGTAAGACTTAGTCTATCGGACTTTCTGCAGAAAGCTTTGTCTATTTTTAAATAAACGCATATCAGTTCTTTTCTAGTTACCTCTGCTGAGTGACTTCTAAGTGCTTTACTGTACATATCTGTTCTCAATATGAGGGGTTATTTCAATAATGCGTCCCCGTAGACACGACAACGCACGAATATTTGGAGTGTTTCGACGGTTGAAAATATAACATGACAGCGACGAGATGAGCCGCTTTATCAGTCACAGGACGACCTAATGCTCATTAGCTGGCAAGTTTTTTTGATTTCCCCAAATCCTAGGCGGTTTCTACCAGGCGTGAACAGATTCATTTCGGCATCGTATCAGGAAAGCTTCTCGGCAGCCCGAAGGTTTTATCGCAGAGCCAACATCCGTCGACGGAGCAAATCGGTTGTTGACAAGAAGATTTACTCTGGCATCTGGGTTATACTCAACTGCGTGGGATGTTTCGTCAGCAAGAGATTTTGTCTTAACAGATAGAACCTAAATGATATATCCGTCTTATGATGCAAAGAGAACAAAACTCACGTAAGTAGTCAAATCTGTAGGAAGGCCAGCTTCATAGCGTGGTCATTTAGTTGTCTTTATCCCATATCAACTGAATATTAATTCAGACCCATTTAGGCGCCTTGCGCACCTCGGATTTCGCCGGTTGTTCAGTAGTTCCTACGAACTGTTAATAAGGGGGTCATTCATTTGAGCTCTGCGTTTGCTGGAATGCGTGAATGTCATCCTAGCATCTTTCCATTGGAGTGATACTCCCACTGTGGTCGATTGCAGGAGGAGTGTGCTGGTGATCAGCACACTCCAGTTCTCACTGATCTTGCCCACGCTCCTTGCCGTTGTGGCCTGCCTCCTTCCTGTACATACCAGAAAGGGTAACAACACTGCCAAATGAAATAGAGGTCGAGATCGATAAACAACACGGAGATAAAAACTTCTGGAAAGTAAAATTACTGCTCCCAGGATTAACTTGTGTTCTAATACATGCAATGTTACATCTAACGGCAAGCTTTTTGAATACTTTCCGCCTTTGTTGTGAGGGAGATATTAGGATTTGTTTGTAGTGCTTACATTGATCAGATCAGATCAGATTTATTAAGGGAAAAGTAGGCGAGCGCCTTTGAACTCCCTTTTGGTTACAATAACGTCATAAAAAACAATGTGTGAGGCAAGTATGAAAAAAATAAGGTAAGTAATTACATACAACAAGCATTGGTCACTGGTATGAATTTGTCTGTGAATGCCTTCTATGTCAAAATTGCACAATATCCAGTACGGTACCGAATGGACCAAGTAATATCAAAGCAAGCGCATATGTGGCGGTCAGGAGATAGCGAAAATTGTAAAACGTAATGTTACTAAAATATAGGGAGTAGCATGCTTTGTAACATAAAACGTTGGATCGGGCGGGTGGCACAGGGGGAATTCGTTAGTTTCTGATGCTGTGGAGGTACATATCTCTGTACTGGTCAAGCTTTCTCTTAAATGAGTCCACGGATGAGGACATGACGACATCCACAGGCAGGGCGTTCCATGCCTTAACCACTCTGTGGCTGAAGAAGGACCTCCTTGCGTCCAGTCTCGCTCCTGTCACACGTAGTTTCAGAGGGTGTCCTCTCAAGCTAGTAGTGGTGGCCAGCTCAAAGAAGTCGCCGGATGCAAGGCAGCAGTCTTGACCCCGTAACATTCTAAACGTTTGAATTAAATCGCCACGGAGTTGTCTGTAGTCCAGGGGAAAGAGGTTAAGATTTGACAGTCTAGTTTCGTAAGGTAGGTTTTGATGACCTCTGACAAGCTTGGTTGCCCGTCGTTGGACTTTTTCGAGGGTGGTGCGATCCTTAACAGTCCAGGGTCTCCAGGCCTGAATGGAAAATTCTAACTGTGGTCGCACAAACATCCCGAAGACCTTGCGAAAGCACTCTTCGTCGAACTTGACAAATGCCCGCTTAATGAGATATAAGCTGGACATTGCGGATTTCGCTGCTTTCAAGCAGTGGAATGATGGCTTTAGTGAAGATGTTATCCACACCCCTAGGTCTTTCTGAACCTCTACCAGTGGCAGCGGTGTGTGATTTAGATAGTACGTCTGCCGGTGCGCAGAGCTGGTTCTGCCAATCCTCAGAATGTTGCATTTGGTAACATAAAATGGGAGGAGCCAGTGACCTGCCCATTTTTCGAGTCGGTCTAAGTTTGCCTGTAAATTTGCTTCATCGACCTCGTTGCGGATGACGGTCCAAAGCTTTATATCGTCAGCAAACATGGCAATTTTGCAGTCCAATCCATGGATACAGTCATAAATATAGATGAGGAAGAGGATAGGGTCAAGAACGGAGCCCTGAGGTACTCCGCTCGTAACCGTCACCTCTGCCGATTGCTGGCCACCAAGACGAACAGTCTGGGACCGACCGACCAAAAAGTTTTCAATCCACTTCAAAAGCTTGCCTCTTACCCCTATGCGGCTGAGCTTGTGTAGGAGACGTTGGTGTGGCACGCTGTCAAAGGCCTTCTTGAAGTCTATGTAGGCCACATGCACAACGTTTCCTTCATCAATCGCTCGGGTCTACTGTTCAAGACAGTAGAGTAGATTGGTTAAGCAGGACCTCCCTCTGCGGAAACCGTGCTGTGCATCGCACAGAAGATGATTTTGCTCTAAAAACCGCATCAGTTCGCGTTTGATAATTCGCTCCATAACTTTGCAGCATATGGAGGTGAGGCTTACTGGTCGGTAGTTTGCGGAAGCGCGACTGCCATTTTTATGAATCGGTGAAATCCACGCAGTCTTCCACTCAGGAGGCAGTCTGCCTGCATCAAGAGAGGCTTGGAAGAGGGCGAACAGAGGTTCTGCCAATTCTGTGGCTAATTCCTTCAACAACTTTGCCGGTAATTCGTCAGGACCGGGCGAAGTCCCTTCTTTTAGCTTCAGTAATTCCTGTTGAACAATAGGTTTTGTGAGAACCACTGAGTCAATTGTCGGGACATTGTCCACATTACAGTGATCAGTGGGTACAGCGACTTCTCTCGTAAAAACCGACTGAAAGAACTTGGACAGATGCTCAGCCTTTTCGTCGTCCTTGTAAAGCTCAACGCCATCATCAGTTTTTAGCATAGGGATGGGATCCCTGTTGCGAGTACTTTGTCTTATGTAGTTGAAGAAAAGCTTTGGGTTTTCTCCTGCACAATTTAAAAGGTTACCCTCGAAGTCTTGGCGGGCTTTGTAAACAAGGCACTTTACCCTATTCCGCTGAGCCTTGTACCTATTTCTTGATTCAGTTGTCTTGTCCCTAAGATATGCTTTCCACAGCTTTTGCTTACGGTTTACTTCAACTTTTAGTGAACCCTTTAGCCATCGGGGCCTGCTGGTGATTTCCTTTTTCGACATAGGGCAGTATCTGGTGATAAGTTCATTCAGTATGGCCTTAAGTTCTAGCCAGTCCTTGAGGACACACCCCGTAAATGCTGCTTTCCAGTCTCTACGACGCATGTCGAGACGCATTTGGTTGAAGTCACCACGCCATATGTTGCGTCTAATCACGATGCTTTGATCGGGTACAGAGAAGAGAGAATACTCCCACTGTAGGACTACATGGTCGCTTTTTCCGAGAGGAGGTAGACAGTTTACAACATCAACGCTTTCTGGTGCCTTTGTGAATACAAGGTCTAAGCAGTTAGCTAGTTGTCCTTCACGTAGTCTGGTTGGGGATAAGACGTGTTGTGTGAGATGCGATCTTTGCACAGATTTTAGGAGGCGGCGATCAAAGTTAAATTCTGAGCCCGGGGCAGAAGTCAGATTCCAGTCGATATTCGGAACGTTAAAGTCGCCCATAATCATGACATTGGTTCGCAGCGAAATCGCTTCTAATTCTTCTAGTAGACTACTGTCTGATTGCGGGTCGTTCCTCGGTGGGCGGTAGACCGTCAGTATCTCGAGAGGTTGTGACCCCGGCGTTTTGACGGTGAGCCAAATTGTTTCAGTTGTGCGCGCGACCTGTGCCTCTTTTGCTGACGCAAAAGGCCATATTTGACATACATGAGCACACCTCCACCTTGACGTCCCAACCTGTCCTTTCTGAACAAGTGATAACCAGATAAAGCGACTTCGCGATCGTCTACGCTCGCGGACAGCCACGTTTCAGTTATGGATATAACATCGGGTAAGGTTTGGTTAACGTAGATCTTAAGCTCATCTAATTTAGATAGCAGACTTTGCACATTGGAATATAAGCATTTTAGCTTTTTTTCCTTTGGTAAGCCGGCTATGACGCCGCCTTTGCCAATTGTCTCGGCTGTGGCGACATACGCACGGGCCGTGTCCATATGAAGCGGTACGGTCGCTCGATTATGCAGTTGTTGTAGATAACCAGGCCTTGTTCGCCATTCATTTGTCGCAGCCTTAGCTCCTGAACTAACTGTCGGCGTTTTATCCGCTCCGGTGGTGTGTAATCCGGCTGAAAAAACTCCTTGGTGGGAATATTTTAACCTAAAACGTCTTGAGAGGATGAGATCAACATGCTCTTTGCAACTCAGAACAATTTTAAGGGGCCTAGGATGCGGTGGAATAGCGGGTTCAGTAGAGCGCTTTCCGAGTCTGAAGGCTTTCAACACGGAAATTTCTTCGTTGGGTTGAAGCAGTGTGTTTAGAAGACCTTGGAACAAGCCGAGATCAGCTAATACGCGTCCTTTAGGTGTATCTGCTTGAGGCTCCTGAAGTCCCTGTATTACTAGGCACTGTTCTCGGAGCGGCCGGTCTTGGCTGCGGGATGTTGGTGACTTGGGAGTTCCTGGCGAACCAATCATGATGAAATTCTGGTTGCCATCCACTCCAGGGATCTTGTCTGCAACTAATGGTATCGTGTTTGGGACAATACTGCTCCTGTCTTTTATGTCAGTACAGAGGATATTCGTATTTGCCGCGTCTGTGTCTACGCCGGCGCTGGAGGTTTCTGTCGATTGCTCAGACGAGCTTTGCTTTTCCACCCTAGGAAGTTCCTTTCTTCGAGTACTCCGAAGTCGTCCGATTTCCATCTCTCTCTTTTCAGTCATCAGTCCCCTTTGATTTAACTGATTCTTTTGATGTCACCTCAGTTGCATGTGAACGGTCTGAGTCTTATTATTAATTCCTTGGTTCTCCTCGGTCACATTGCGGGGGGTGGTAATCGTCTGTTTTCTGCTCTTCTGCGGCGGATTAATATCATGCCTTGTCATATTCTCCGCGATTTCCTCTGAGGTTTCCGTCCATGCGGTAGTCTTTTCTATGTCGAATCCTTTTACCTTCTTCTGTGGTGGAGATCGGACAGCTTCTACTCTGCCAGTGAGCTGGTCATTGTTCTTCAGCTGGGTAGTTATCAATGATGAGAGTGTACTGCCATTATCACTTCGCAACTTAGTTTGCGATTTTGGAGTGTCGTTTATCATTGCTCTTGGTGAGGGTGAGGCTGTATATTCATGTTTCCGTTTACCTTTTCTCTTAGCACTGTTTATTTCTGCGGCCAGCGATCTCCTGAAACGGCGATCCCTCTACTAGTGGGTTGCTGTTAGTCAACTCTGTCAGTTTCGAAACTATCTGTTGGCTGCTGCTGAATTCATCAATTGACCTGAATTTATCATACTTTAGTAACAATGCAATGAGATCTATACGGAGGTTCATGTTCGTCTCCAACGACTTAATGTTTAATGCGAGATCTCGACAATATTTACACCGCGTACCACAATTTGAAGGTTCATCATCTGGTAGAAAATCTTGTGTAGTCGTAGCGAATTTCTCGGGATAATTTGCGTTGCGGGCCACCTCCGTCCTGTTTTGAACCACTTCTGGCGTACTGCATTCGTTAGATCCTCTCTGCCCGACGTGAATCGACGCTGGTCCGCATGGAGTTGCTACTGGTGTTTCCTATCATCTTTTAGTTGATATCATCGTGCAGCGACATTTCAACTCGGTGGAGCAATTCGCTGACCGAATTCTGAATGACACCGTCCATCCCCTTCATAATGAGTTAATGGCTGCGAAATCCTTACGCCCCACGCGTCGATGCTTCCTCCACATCCCTTGCCGCACTTCGGCCTATCAGAACTCCATACTGCCATTTCTAGCCCGGTATCTCACCTGCAAAGATGTTGAAAAACAGAAACTAAAACTCGACCTTGCACCTTAAAGTCCTTTTTTCTTCATATATAATCATGTCCACCTGTCTGTCCAAAAACCTGTTAATCTCTATGGTAATCACTGTGTACTGGAGAACCGTTTTTGCTGAAAGTTTTGAAAGTTATTTTCAAAATAAAGCAGTCCTCTCTCTCTCTCTAGTGCACTATGTTCATGGCAAAGTCCGACACATTCCCCAACCGTGGGGCTAATGCAATTAATATTCTTTGAGGTCACCCCATCGGTGCCGATGGCCGAGGGGTCTAGGCGTTGGCCTCGTGAGGCGATTGTCGGAGGTTCGATTCCTGCTCTCCACGCCTTTTTTTCATCCCGCGGGACTGATGGATCGTACACTTCTACATTTCCCATGTCTCAATGCGCCAAAGTCAAGGATACAACAACGGCCGAAAGGTTGGCAGCAGAACACAGACACAATCACAAGAAGGCCTAAGGCTTTCAGATGTCAGGTAAGCTTTAGGCAACGGAAATCTAAGCGAATGCTTCGAGACTTCAGGCAACAGAAACCTAGTCGAATTTAACGGTACTACAGTTAACAGAAATTTAAGCTAATGCTTTGAAGCAAAGGTACAGCTAATGTCTAATTTCGAAGTGAGACTCAGCCTTTGTAGAAGTTGTTCTAAGCGTTTCGTTTGCTGGAAGATTGGTCTTTTTAGGTTCGTATGCAGAACTGGTAGTGTCGAAGTCCACGTTCTGCAAAGCTGGTGTCGTAAATTGATGACGATGCGAGTATTGCTGTCTGTGATTCAATTTTCTAAAATCCGGTTGACTGCAGGAGCATCCAGAGTGCGGAAATCTTGAAGAATATTAACCCCTCGGAGGACGAAAATTTGAAACCAAATTCGAAACGCGCGCGTCTGCGTGTGTTAGGTTATTTGTGCCACGATTATTTTAGTGCTCTGTAAAATAATGATTTATCACTGGGACCTCAGCTTCTTCTATGGGATTAAGTCCTAAATACCAGTCTGCATTATATCAATAGAGATGATGGTATAAATCTGCGAGTGTAACTCGTCTTCAAGAAAGTGACGTTGAGTGCTCTTCTTCCCTTGCCAGTCCTCACCGTTTGTCTTTATTTTCCTCGTCTCCTACCAGAGCCAGCTAGAGAAATTAAAATCTATTTCGATCTCTAACGTTGTTGAACCCACCCTCCACAGTGAGACTCCCTGCCCAAGGTGCCCTGGTTCGTTTGCCAAGTCTCACTGATTATTCTGCAACAACTGTGTCAGCTATGTTTTCTGGCCAACACCAAGTTTTATTCACTCAGCGACAGAACTGTTACAGCGTCCTCCCTTTGAACTTTTTTGCGGTGTCTAAAGTGATGAGCGGGCACTTGTCACCACGACTTCCTCAAAAAGACATCCTTGGCGGAGTCCAACTCGGCTTTCGACAATAGCCCTCCTGTTTGAACAGTACAGTCTGTTTAATGAAACAGCTTTCCATCCGTTAGATAAAGATACAAGCGTCGAAACCATTCGTAGCGAATTCAAGAAAACCTTCGATTGCGTTCCCCACAGCCGGCTACTGGCCAAGATCCGGGAATGTAGGACAGGGCAGAGCCTGCTTAATTGGGTAGGGGACTTCATGACCGGCCGATCTTAGTCTGTGTACACTGATATTATGACATCACTCTCAGTGCCATTTGTAAGTGGAGTACCCCATGCTCCGTTCTCGGGCCATTACTGTTTTTTGTCTGTCACTGGCAGTTTGACAGGACTGGGCTGCAAAGAGGTCAGATTCACGAAGGCCATCAGAATATAGTGGCGATCAAACGCCGTCATGGTGAACGTGCTCTGCGTGAAGGGCTTAAACGTGTATGTGGATGATCCGATAAATGGTAGAAGAAGTGCAACTTTGAGAAGGAGTCACTCTGCAGCTCAAAACGAAGAAGGAAAGCCCAAGGGACGACTTTCACAAATACCTGAGTGACGGAGGGCGTCTGATGGATGTAA